CCTTTTCCTAGTTAACCTCGTCTACAACTCATGTCTGTAATCTTGCACTGGTTTTTACTTCCTACCGAGAAATCCTATTACAAGCTGGTCTGGATAACTATACTAAAAAAGAGCTCATTCATAATTTCTTGAGCTGCAGAGTTAAAAATAAAAAGAATATATAAAACAAAAAATTATATCACTGAGCCTCTTTATTATATTTTGTAAATCAACATTATTACTAACAACTTGGTACTTCTGAATTTCCTCTATTCTTTCGACAAACTTCCCAATAGTTATCTCACCAATAATTTGTCTTCATTAACCTACATAAGTGCAGGTGTACAGTAATGATATTAAAAAAGTCTGAGTAAACATACCTTTGTTTTATCTATAAACGTATTTTCTGTTCCGCTCCTCGTCCCGTCTTCTTTATTCCTCTTTTTTCAGAACCTTATTCCACTCCTCATATATTAGTCTGGATATTTGCAGTAGACTTGGTTACCCTACCCAAGAACATGTAAAATCATTAGCTGATGAATATCAACCATACCTTTGTACATTTACCGCATCAATTCTTGTTATATGCAAACCTATCTCTACCATGAATCGTTTCTCAGTCCATAAGATGATTGTCGTAACGCAACCTTCGTAACTTGCGCCAATTATTCGCATTGAACTTTCCATGTTTAAGAACACAATGAATCTTGTGAAATGTTTCAGTAAATGTATACCGTTTTAAAAGAAATATGTTGTTAATCTTAACATTTTGATCTTGCCTGTAAATTGGCATGTCTCTTGTAACATGTTTGTTATTTGAGAATAAATTATTATTATTATTATAACAAGAATTGATGCGATAAATGTACAAAGGTATGGTTGATATTCATCAGCTAATGATTTCACATGTTCTTGGGTAGGGTAACCAAGTCTACTGCAAATATCCAGACTAATATATGAGGAGTGGAATAAGGTTCTGAAAAAAGGAATAAAGAAAACGGGACGAGGAGCACAACAGGTAATATCCATGTTCAAAGCCGAACAACGGCTTCGCACATACGTTTATGGATAAAAAAAAGGTATGTTTACCCAAACATTTTTAATATCAGAACACTCTACACCTGCGCTTATGTAGGTTTATGAAGACAATTCAGTAGTGAGATAACTAATGAGAAGTTAGTCGAAAGAATCGAGGAAATTCAGAAGAACCAGGTTGTTAGTAATAATGTTGATTTACAAAATATAATAAAGAGGCTCAGTGACGTAATTTTTTTATTTCATTTATTCTTTTTATTTTTAACTCTACGGCTCAAGAAGTTATGAATGAGCTCTTTTCTAGTATAGTTGTCCAGACCAGCTTGTAATAGGATTTCTCGGTAGGAAGTAAAAACCAGTGCAAGGTTACAGACATGGGTTGTAGACGAGGTTAACTAGGAAAAGTAACATCAATATCACTGATTTGTTACATCCTGCTATATCGTAAGGAGCCGTAAGCAGACAAAATGTTCTGCCACACAGACATGGGTAGATTGAGGTTATCGTACACTTGGCCGTCCTAAATAAAAACGCTCACTCCATTCACTTTAGAGCGTTTACGTTTATTTTGAAGGATTTCGATAAGTGCAGAAGATTTTTCCTGTGCGATCGCCATTTTCGTCCGTGTCATCTGTGCCTCGAATATTATTTCTCTCATAACAACTAATGAGTAGAAGTATTTTCTCTTTTCAAATCTGGAAGCCTGTCATCGAGGACGTTTTCGTATATGACCTGGCATATATAAGTCTTTAGAAATTCAAGGTGTCCTGGATCCTAAGGGTGCAAATTTATTGAAGATATTATTTGTGTTGTGATCAAATACTTTTACTAGTTCATCGGTATTAAGACCTCATATGACGAGATCAGAATTACTTCTTCGGAACGTTTTACCAACATATAAAGTATTAGGTATGAGGTCGCTGGTGAAATCTAAATCCCATACATTTTGATGTCTGGTTGGGTCGTCAACATTTTGAATCCACTCTTCAAGCTCTAATCATTCAATAAATGATTCAAGTCGTTTCGGTGCTTTGAGTGAGCACCAGATTTACGGAATGTTGAAGTCCCTAAAAATGGTCTTGCATGTAAACGGAAGGGATGAAGCAAACCTAAGTACTTCTGGGAATACTGCTAGACTTCCTGTTGGTGCTTTAAGCTGACGTTAACACAGCCGAACAGTAAGGAAACTGCATTTAAGGATTTCAGAACGATCCATACAGAATCTTGTAACTTGTTTAGTTCTGGCTAGTTTTGGCTAGAGTTGGCCTATATGAGGCATCCTCGACCTTGTCCTTTTAATCCATCAATTCTAAATGGATTATAGTTTTCCAGAGATGTACTTAGATCAGAAATATTACTAGTGGTCCATGTCACAGTTATCATTATAAGTGATGGTTGGTAAGTAGTCGAAAACATGATTGAATCTTTCTTTTTATTACAGGTCGCACGAGCATTAATAAATGACCTCACAACGATAGAAAGATGGGCAGCGGACAGAAGCTTAAAACTTAGCCAGTCTAAATGTAAAATCATGAACATTCTGCCCCATGCAACATAATCAACTTACGTTCTCGATTGATGTTCTCTCTAATTGCGCGATCTCTGTCTTATAACCACTAAAAAACCATACACAACTTCAAGCTAAGTTGGGATGGCAGCCGAGGTTAGCGCAGCACTTCGCTTTGTGAAAAGAGAGCATCGTGCTATCCCCGCACAACTGCCAATATTTCGCTATAAAACATATGCGTGGTCACCGTTTGAATTTCACAAATACATCTCACCACATCTCTTTAAAAGAGATGTAGGTCTCCTGGTTTGAGTCTAGAGACCAGCGACAAAATAAGTGTGAGTGTTAGGGAGTATTCATTACGAAGACGGTCTTCATTATCTTGGATTACTTGCACTGAGCAATGAAAGAATCAGAGGTGATCTAATAATGGCGTACACTGTATTGAGTAAGACGAATCACGCCGACTCGAGAATCTTGTTTGAACACAACACCCCTTGAGTTACCCTCCCAAAAATGCACATCAAGGAGCAAATACCAAAGTTCAGGCACAATTTTTTTCAATGGCATTTGTCGTAATTTGAAATGGTCTGTCAACTGGAGTGACAACAGCTCCGTCAGTGGATAGCTTTAAGAAAAGACTCGATCAACACTTACTAAAATCTCCGTCATGGACAAACCGTACCCGGAGCTGCACTGATAAAACAAGAAGCGAGTGCAGAGAAGTCAGTTAGTTTATTCTAAATTATCGATATTGGTCCCTATTGCGATTTACTCCGAGTTATAAAAGTATGTCCGAGAGCCAGAATGATCAATATGAGAGTATATTAGTAACAAAAAACTACATCGACACGATTTCTAGATTTTATCATCACCAGTGCATCTCATTTTATCTAGAAAATAGACGACCTAGCGACTCCAATTGTTTTGTTTAAATGACGCAAAGACCCTAGATACAGACTAAGAGTTATGTGCTTATTTGAAAATCTAAGTTTACAAATAAGTTGCGGCCGACAGTCAAGAAGTCTGTGGTTATCTTGATCTTGATTTTCATTTAGGTGATACTTATTTTATTTGATAGTGCCGACAAAGAAAGTATGTTATTCAGAGTGTTTCACAAACCTTTTGACGGTTACTTGACTTGCACGTACTCAGTGATTAACATCAACGCCTTTGATAAGCTGTGCCTAATCGATGTTTGGAAACCTATTTGTTGTTAAAAATTATCACTATTTAATTCCAATAACTTATTTATCCCAGCTTTTTACCGCCTCTTGATCCTCTCTTGTTCTTTCTTTTCGGTCCTCTCACACAGTCTACACTTCCGATCAATCAACTTATATTAATAGTGTAGTTTCGAAACATCCGTATTCCACTTAACATAAGAATTTTTTTCCATTATCTTTAATATTTTAATTAATTGGCCTACAGCCTAGTAATGTGATACACTTATCCATGAACCTTTTTTCTTTATATATCGGTCTTCTCACACTATTTTCAAAAGCACTTGGTTAACCAGCTCAGGATAAAAATAAGTTAGAGCAAACGAATCAATCGTTTAATACTACTGAAGGCGACATTTGGGTGTTAGATGCCATTGATTTATCCTCGCATGCATTGTATAATAGTTACGTAAACATTTTCTTCGGAACTTATGAGACCAGAACGAGAAGTTGATAACTGCTTCTTGTTTTCATAGCCAGTATTCAGCATCTTTCTCACCGGTTAGTACAAATTGGTTAGGGTGATAAAGGGACCTCCAAATTATTTTGATTAACAAGCCTAGGTTTCAGAAACGTTTAATTTTTTTTAAAGTGAAAATATAACGAATTTTTAACCGAATCCAGGAGCTAAAAGATTGAAAATGGTGAAATTAGGGAGTTCATATGGGCAGACTCTGGAGAAGGAAACTTGGCTGGATTCAGAACTGGACGTTGATGTTTAGACCACATTTTATCACTATGACTAGTCCTGGTACATAGACAAACATTTAGTCGTCCGGCAATAGTTCTTTCGTGAACCTTAAGGCGGAATTTGACTTTGTTGATTGAGGTCTTGTGGCAGTGCCTGTCATTAAAAGGTGTACCAAAGAAGTACATTTACCTTATACAGGCTCTCTACTCGAACACCACTGGTCGGGTGAGAGCTTATGGCCAACTGTCATCGGAATCGGTTACCTCAAGTGGTGTCCGTCAGGGATGTCCACTTTCCCCACTCTTGTTTAACTTTGTCGTATATATGCTTCTAAAGTTAACATTATCATCGTCTGACTCTTCAGGGGTGGACCTTTTACCAGGAAACATGCTTGCTGATTCAGAATATGACGATGACATAGTCCTACTTGGTGAAGATGCTGACAAAATGCAGAGTCTTCTGACTACCCTAAGCAACAATGCAAGCATGTTCGGGATGCGGTTTTCTCCCTCGAAATGTAAAATGTTACTTCAAGATTGGGTTGCATTGGCACCTGAACTAGTGATATGGAATGAAGTAGTTGAGCGTGTAGACCGCTTCACTTATCTGGGGAGTCTCATCAGTGCTGATGGCCTGGTGACTGACGGAATCTCCGCACGGATACAGAAAGCTCGACTGGCTTTTACCAGGTTGCATCATTTATGGCATAATTGAGATATCCGTTGGCTGACTAAAGGACGAGTGTACTGCGCAGTGGTTCGTTCCGTCCTACTTTATGGATGCGAAACATTGCCGGTAAGAGTTGAGAATATTTGTAGGTTATTAGTATTCAATTATAGATGTCTTCGACACATTGCTCGTATATCCTGGGACAACTGAGTAAGCAATACTGTTGTTAGGAAATGGGTGCTAGGTAAGGATGTCAGTTCAAAAGATGAAGTATTGACACCTCATCAATTGAGGTGATTGGTACATGTGTAACGTATGCATAACCACCGACTGCCTCGTTGAGCTATGCTTTGCGAAGTGGGAATATGTTGGAGGAAAGCTAGGGGAGGTCAGACCAAAACATGGCAGAAATCTATGAAGTCACTGACAAGTGGACTGAGTCATGTTGATAGATTTAGACCACCTATTTGGGGTCCGTGAGATGATAGTTACCGATGGTTAGAGACCTCTTTCTAAGTTTATTTCACTAGACTCTACTTCTTGAATAATATTTTTGAATCCCAATCTCCATTACTGCTAGTACTCCTACTATCTCTACTACTATGGAATTTGAACCGACAATTGCGTTTATGTGCTTATCTGGTATGACAACTTTAACTAATGCAAGTACGTAAAACCTTTACGTTGTAACTGACTAACCGACTCTGATGTATTGCATTGTAGAATTCAGTTTTGTCCTTTTACAACTACATTTCTTAGGGCTAGCTTCCTTTAATAGTTTTTCTCTTCTCTTTTCATCATATGGCGATTTAACTTTTTATAACTCGAACCAGTCCACACTTTGCTAGATCTTACCTCTTTTATATATGACTGAGCAACTGTAAAAGATATTGATGAATTGTACCAGAACAAACACACCTATAATGTTTATAACTATGTCAGCATATTGGTTCTTAAGAAATCTCCTGATTGTTGTTTGAATAAATAGTGATCAGTAGTTTTCTTCATTTTCTATTATGTACTTTACCTTTTTGACAATCTACCAAGCATGCTTACAGTAGGTATTATTCTTCTATTTCTGGAAATGCTTATAATTCCGGTAATGTATCCTATATATTTGATTTGTCGATAAGACTTTGGTGTGACTTAACACCATTTGTATATGCAATTACGTTTTTAGTAATAATAGATCTCTTTCTTTTCCGTTCAATAGATTTCGTATTTTGTTTAAAAATAACAAATTTGATATTCAGTTGTTCAATAAAAAAATAGAAATATAAACAAGAATGCCTCCAAAAAGAAAAAAGAAGACTCGTAAAGCAAAAAATATGACGGATGAAGAAAGAGCAATTTTACTCGAGCGAAAAAGAGTTGCTGAAGAAGAATTGAAAAAAAAGAAGATGATACTGTTATCTCAACATTTACAAGTCAGTTTTTGAATGAATCTTTTCTGATTACAAAAAAATGATTTTCAATGCAGGATAAACTTAGTCATGAGGAAGTGTTTACCAAACATAATCAAACAAAACTGACACATTACTGGCGAACTATTATGAGGCAAACGAAGTCAAAGGAATTGAAAAGAACTATAGAAATATTATCACAAACATTTGAAAGAATTATGGACCGGTAAGTGTCACTGTTTTTTTTATCTCATCTTCTTTCTGCTCTATATTTTTCAAAGAAAAGAAAGTATCACCAAAACCCTCGTTGCTAATCTTAGTGAAGCAGATGAGCAGCATCTGATGGCTATGCGTTCTCATTTAGAAAATGTAGATATTCTGATAGGTGAGTAGTTTTTCAATCGATTTAAAATTTCCACTGATACTTATTTTCAATATGACCTGCTGATTTAACAGTAGTAGTTATTTTATTCTAAAATTTATTGTTTCAATGATCCGAGGGAAACACCTTACTGCTGTCACACCTCTCTGCAGTCAGCAGTACAACATCGCCCTCAGACCTTGCATAGCTGCTTTTAGTCTCATCGTTTTCCAATCGACTAGCCTGGCATGGCAGAACCTACAGCAACATAGGTTCAAGCCAATATAGCTCAGTTGAGTCATCACGAAACACAAGCCCGGCCACCACGTCAAGGTAGTAGCTACGGTCGGGGGTTTGATCCTATATGTTGCTGAGGATTTTTTCTGGTCAATGTCCATCAAAAAAGCATAGAAATGCTATTGAGTATTTTCTCCAATCTTTACTAATCTGTAACAAAAATTTCACTCAAATTGAGCATTAGTAAGTTTAAGTAGAGAACATAATTTTAATATTCAAATCGGTTTAATAATAATATAATGCCTCATTGCTTATTGAACTCAGTAATGCATGACATCAATTTACTTGGCTACTCTATCATGGGGCTGATATTATATAGAATTTACTTGATTAGGTTTTTGAAAGGAAATCGTAGTAATTTGTTGATTATAATTTCGAGGTTTTTTCTATAGGCAGTGTTTAATCATGAAATATATTTCAATAAGTCAATCACTTTTAAACAAGATTTTCACGTGTATTGACCAAATATATTCATAGTAACCGATAACTAAACAGGATCTTGGTATAACCCAAAACAAATATTATCGTCAGTAATTATCGGACGCTTAATCTGAGGCTCGTGAAGAGTAAACTCGATGAAACAATATTGATTTTAGATGTAGGCGGCGACGTTTGGATCAAGTATTGACCATTCAGTATATTCTGCAACAGACATATATCATAATTACAATTAGTGAGCTTTAGTCAGAGTTCGACTGTGTAAGGTAAATTGATGGGTTTTGTAGTATTTTCAACATCCATACTATAAAATACACTTGCAGAAGTTCTAAAACGAATGTATGATAATCAGTCGTCCAATGAAACACTATTCTTGTAGCGATAAATTGACGGTTAACAAGATAATAATGACTGACTTGACTTATTAGCTATCTCATATACAATCATTTGAAAAGATGTAAGTTTCATAGAATTAAAAATAATTTGTGTTAATGTATATAAAAGAGAGAGAGAGTTGATGATGATGATGATGATCTGCATTACATAACCGTATTAGTATTTTCGATTTTGTGTTTATTGTGAAAAACCAGATTTGCAGAACCAACGATTACAAAAGTTGAGAACTGACTATGAAAAGGAACTACAATCTTTGGTTGACGAATTCTTAAAAGGTAGATCATATTTATGTATCCTATAAATATATTGCTTCTCTTGAAATTAGAAGAGAAATTTATCAGACAACAACATGGGAAACAAGTAGATGATCTAAAGACTATATTTGTTGCTCTGGATTCTACATATACGGCGAAAGTGAATAAAGCTGTAATGGATCACAATAATTTAAAAGATGATCTGAAGAATCAAGTGAGTCAGTTTTGGGCTTCAGATATTTCTTGCGTTACTTAAACAATGATGATGCACAGACGGAATCTGTTTGAGCTATAAAATTCAGAATCATCCTACGTAACATGTTTAGATAGTGTAGCAGCAAATGGTTTAGCTTTACGTGAATTTTGAGGTTATATCTGTTGTGGTCAGTTTTAAAAGTGCGCTTGCTACCAAGACTTCGATCGAGCATCACAAGACTAGATGATTAATTACAGGTACCTTTACTATCCAGATTTGTGGTTGTTTAAATACTATTAAAGGTCAAAACATTCAGCTATTTAAAATTTGTATGAATAAGTGAATATGACATCATTTTTACTGAGTTCAGAGACATAATTATTGTTAATTGATTGTAGTTTAAGGAATGTGGACTATGCAACAATAATAAGGACAAGAGGTCGTAATTAAGCTTATGCAAAGAATATTTCCCACTTGCAATGGGAGTTTCGAGTGAACAGCGATTCGATTGACGAGGAATTTTCAGATAAAGAGGATAGATCGTGCACAATGGTGATAATCAAATTGTTGGAGAGGTGTGATATGACTGTTTCGTCATTGTCTTCTCAAAACAATATGCCAGGCCGAAGGGATTTAGATTATGCAAAAATACAGTGAAGACTACTTAACGAAAAATATTGAACCGTTAGCTCACTAACTACTAATGTGAGTTAGGTGAAAAAGTATAAGCTTACTTGGACCATAAAAATGTCAAAATTAAGCGTTGAAGATTGGGCTGTATTAATAAGACTCAATTGCAGTTCTTTATTTATTGCGTTCCTGCCTTAAAATTGTATTATTCTAGGCATATACGTTATGCTTACTGCTATCTGTATTACTTGTCTGAAAATCCTGTAACTTTTAATACCTTTTTGTTTAAAGATAATCTTCCTCAGGTATTGATGTTAGCTAGAGAGGTCTTAAAAGCTAGGGAGCACGGGAGAGATATTTATCATAATATGGACCCTTGATTTTTGTGGACCGACAGATCTGTATACGATCGATTTTGGGATTTTTAGGCTTCATCACTACTTAGTAAGTACAAAGTGTATTTGAAAAAAATGAGTTGGAATTCATCGGTTCAGATATCCAACTACAGTGAATTTTGATATAATGCTATACGCCATTAATTTTGTTGGTGATTTGTTACTTGAGTCACAACATGGTTATCTCCACACACCTTATGATGTGTGATGTGTGTAAATTTCAATGCATTCTTCAAGTATATTTTTATCACATTTTTCACTGTTATTCACAAGCATGATCAAGTGTTTGGTTATGTAAGTTATATTGCTTAAATTTATTATACATTGTAAATAGTAATTCGCATACATTTTTCATCATAGAGTTTAGAAGACAAACATGCATTGCGAATGAATTTGAACAATAAAGTTGAAAGTTTAGCATCGGAATTGAAACAAGCTGCAGAACAATACAACACAGCAATTAGCGAAAAAATGAAATTTTTCGAAAATTTAAAATCAAAAAATGCAAGTTCAACTGTGGAAATTCAAACACACTTTGATGAAATTCAAAAACTCAATAATAATATAACAGCTATCAAATATCGTATGACAAAAATATCCAATGATTACAAAGAAAAATATGATCATTTAAAAGAAGAACGAGATAGACTAGTTGAACGTTTCAAAGTTTTAAAGCTTAAAATGAAGAAATTACAAGATTTACAATATGAAAAATTAATTAAAATGTCAGTTGAAAGTGGAGAAGCTACAAAAAAGGTAATTCAGAAAAAAAAACACTATTAGTAGTTTAATATTTCTAATGAAAAGACTTAGCTTGTGAATGATATATTTGTAAGTTCTTTCTTTATAAGTGCTAAGTAAAATAGAAGGCAATTAGTTAAGAAGTAATTGACAAATTGAATTATTCTATCTAATAAGGAAATAATATAGTACGTCGTAGTCAATACCTTAAATACAGAATGAGTTCTCATTAGATGTACAAAGAGAAGCTAAATGGTATCGATGTAATTATGTATTAGGCTTTTAGTTAGTCTTGAATGTTTAGAATGTGAGTAATTTCATACCTTTTTTGAATTTATATATAGATTCAGTGTTTACTGAAGAAAGCGGAGAAGATTATTAAGCTAGGTGAAGAATGCAGAAAGTATGAGACAGAAGAGGAAAAACTAACACCTTTCTATTCATCATGTGCACCAGCTGAAGAAGAAGAAAGTGTTGTGCAAGAATCATTTAAAGAGGATCAGATCGGAGAAATAACAAAGGTGATAAATGTTTATCACTTTCTTCATTCTATTGGTTTTTTTCTTGTTTTTGGGTTTGAATATATGTGTTTATATTTCTTGGTGGGAGCAGTTTATTTCATAAATGATATTCAGCTTATATTGTTTTTCATTTTATCCTTCAGCTTGCGTGAAATCGGATTGAAATGATTCTGTTGGCTTATTATGAACTCAACGGTATTCCTAATTTGATTGCGATTTGTAATGTTTTTCATGTATAGTAGTGGGATCATACACCTGCCGGTATTATTCTTACTAATGAGTTTGATAAACACAGATAACTGTCTTGTTGAAAAGTTTTTCGACTTGTGTGTCTGGTGGTAGTGCTGCAGTCTTTTTGTGCTTTCGAATCGAATTTGTTGTACAATTGAGTTTTTACAGTAAGTAACTCGAAATTTGTTTCACATTAAGCTGGCTTCCAATAAACACAAACCTCCAATTTTCTGGTAATTACTTCCGGTGATCAACATATTCAAGAATAAGTCAGTGTTTACCAAATTTTTCAATGTAAATTTTATGTTATAGACATTTAAACCAGCCAGGCGATGTAGAAAAAAAGTAACTTCAACGACATCATTTTCCTATAAAATTATACAATCTTCAGTCTTATTTCATATGTTTCTATTTTGAAAAAGCCCACATAATATTGAAACGGAGACAAATTTCATTCTAGGTGAGCAATAATGTTGGGGACGTTACATCCCCAGAACTCGCTTGATACATACCTTACTTTGGATTTCACGTTTACGAACATGGGCTGATCAGTTGACTTTGAGATTTCATTTCCCACCAGGAAAATCCTTGGCTATGATTGGCTGCTGTGTATTTTAGTGTGCTATTCTTGTGACTGTCCCAAGGATGTTTCTATGATGTATAAATAAACAAGATTTGTGTACTTGATTGCTTTGTACTTGCTGGGTGTTTGTAGTATATACTTTTTACGCTTAACAAGACTTCTGTTTTGCCGTCTTCGGATCAGGGTAGCCTACCCGGACGCTGGTTCATTGCCTCGTTCGCGTTTATCAACTGAGGTGAACCCACATATAGTTTCAAGCGTACCTAATGATGAATTTAACAAATAATTGTTTGCAAATATGAAATCGGCAATTATTTCTCGTTATTCAATACAAACAACATTTATCGTTAGTTGTATTCTATTTCCTAATTTTTACTTTATGAAAAAAACAGATTTTTCAGTCAGTCAAACGATGTTTACCAATCGAAATGTTTTGGAAAAGATTTAATAAAGTTCAATTAGAACGTTTAGCAATCACCAAAGAATACAATATGTTAGAAGAAGAAAATATTCAATTAAAATTATTATTAAAACAATATTTAGATGGTATAACAATTAATAGTGAAATTATTTCAAGTGATAATTCAATCATCATTATTAATGGACGATCAAATTTAAAGTGAGTTTTATATTAAATCTACTGGTGATCTCTTTATTATTATTGAAATAATTATTAATGTTGTTACAGCAAAAGGGATTGGCGAGTTCAGTCTGGTTATAAAAATATTTTTTAACAATGTATAAACTGGTGAAATGAAAGTTTATTGTTGAATGGTTGATAATAGCGTCTTGATTATTCTCTTTTCATCATGGTAAATCTAATACGTAAAAGATACTGATCAATAATTATAGAAAAACATCATCTTAGAGGTCGGATTATAAAAAAACAGCAACTTGACATTCATGCATTAAAACTGATATGTTCGGCACTTAGGATGCTTGAGGCTATTACGAGTTTACCTTAGTCGATAAACGCGAACGAGACCTTTACCAGCTTCCAGGAAGGCTACCCTGAATCCCAGAATCGAAATAGAAGACTTTGTAGGCGTAGAAGTATATTCTACAAGCACCCAGCAATCCCAGTACAATCAAGCATACAACTCTCGTTTATTTATACAACATAACAACGTCCTTGAGACAGTTAAGAAAATAGCATACTAAAATACACTGTAGCCAATCACAGCCATTGATTTTCCTGGTGGGAATTGAAATCTCAAGGTCATTTGATCAGCCCCTGCTGGCGAAACGTGAAAACCAAAATACGGCATTATCAAGCGAATTTTGGGGATCTAACATCCCCAACAAAAACCATCTATCAACCATTGTTAGAAACCTGGAAGGCCGTTTCTCCCTAGTATGGGACTCATCAGCAGTGTGCATCCTGCACCTCACAGGATTTAAACCCAGCAGGACCTTCGGTGTTGCGCGCGAACGCCTAATAACCTCTGGACCACTGGGCCTGCATCAAGCAGTGTTAATGTCTAGCTCTGATCAATTTACAGATTTTGCGCGACCTAACCCATTTGTCTTTGGTAGTTACTGCTTACACCTGACAGGGTTGAACTCCACTGGTCACGTCTTGTAAATACTTTGAAAAGATTTCCAATAAATCATAAATATATTTGTTTTCTTAATTACACATTGGTGAAAACATCAGCATCACAAACGAAACTAGAATTTTATACCGATGACATTTTAACACATAGAACTTGGATATAGAATGTAAAATTGGTTTTAGAAAAATAAAGCTACTACTACTACTACCTATGTAAAGTCTATCTGTGTTAACTAAGATAGAGTAGTATTTTTAGCGGTCAGAAATGATAATGAGTCAATATGTTTGACAGTAAGTAGTATGAAACCTGGACAAGTCACATATTAATCACCTTATTCATCAGTATTGAAAGAAAAGCACAATTTTGAATGAAAACAAGTGGTTTCGATAACTCTACAGTTCGTGACTGCTTACTTATTTCATTGTAATAGATTCAATAAGGCATACTACACAAATTATGTACATATTAAAATAGTGAAATTTTACATTGATTATGCTTTATTAATATACATTTAAAGTTTCCCTATTGATTAACAACACACACCACTACTGACAGGATATTTACAAATATAAAAGTCTAAACATTTTATAAAATGTATAGATAGGTATGTACAAAAAAATATACATGAAATAGTTAGTTATTCAGAATATCAATCATCATTACATAAAAAAGAACAATATTCATTAAATGCTAACGTCATAGATTAATTAGAATGAATGAAATAAGAATATACATATATCACAGAGTAAATATTATGAAAATAATTAAGCCATTTTGTTAAGTACTAACTGCCTGTTAGTTTATAATTATTCACTATTTATTAATTGAGCTTTGTAAAAATTCATCATTGAATGACACATAACACTTCCTCCTCATTATTTCCACGTTACACATATACTATTGCTTGTGAAATGACAATCATAACGAAACGAGGTAAGTGTGGAGGGAGAAATAGAAGAAAAATGCTAAGAACGATAATAATAATAATAATAATATTGAAAGAAATCAATTCTTGTTAAACATTTTGTAATTATTCTATTTACTTGCAATAAATAACGAAAACAAATGTTGTAAATTAATCCATACTTCTAAACGTGCTGGACAATGTGTAACATCTGGTCGACGATATGATGGTCCCCAACCTTTACCTAAGCTTATATGAATAATTGGATTTTTGCATAGATCACTGCTGTTCGCCAATAAATGAGTTTTGTGCAACTCATCAAAATTCATATTGTTATTTTTATGATGATCATTATTATCATTGTTACTTAAATGATTACTGTCGCCATGACGATTGTTACCGCCATAATGACGATCAGATGTTGATGATGATGATGACACGAAGGAGGAGGAGGAGGATGATGACGAAGCAGAGGAGGAAGAAGAAGAATATTGTTGTAACCAGCTTTCATAGGATGATGATAGATCGAAAACCAAAAGAGAACAACCAGCCGGTACACGATATACAGGTCGATCAACCAGAAATTCATCTGTACTACCATTAAGCAATGATGATGAAGAAACATTAGCATTTTGAAGTTGTAAAAACGGTGAAGATACAAATACAGGCAAGTTTGTAGCTAAAGCTTGGTTACTTAACCAAACACAACCATAAGGAGTAAGTGTAAGCGATATACCCTGATTGCCTAGACGACAGCATTGTTTCCAGCCAGAAGATGATTTATTATGCAGTGATGATTGAACAATTAGATTTGGTATAACAGATGGATTATTATTATTAAAGGAATCCATATCATGATAACATTTTCTGCATTGTTTTGAAGATGATCTGATGATATGATTATTGTTATTACTGTTAATCTTATTCGTATGACTGGTGATAGCGGAAGTGACTGTGGAATTGTTGACAAGTTTATTTTTTCTGTGAAATTCTGATTTATAATTATATTTTACTTGATTTGATTGATATAATGTTAGTAGAGATAAATATATACAATCATTTTGTTGAGATTTACGCTTATCATTTGAATAATTTTCATTATGTATATGTACTTTAAGAGATGAATCCGATTTGTTCTTGACATTACGACCACCATTATCATCATCATCATCGTAAATAATATCACCGTCGTTGTAGACAATATGCAATTTACGATTTGTAATCTGATACCATCTACGTCCAACATGATGATGTGACTCCCAGTAGGAAATATTTGCCCACGGTTTAATAAGATTAGATGGAGAAGAGGGAGAACAATGATCAGTATGTAGACATGATTTCCCGGTATTTAGTACAACAGAATTATTATGGAGAGAAGAAAGAAGAAGGGGATTAAAGTGTAGATTAGAATTTTTTAAATCTATGGTATTGATAGTAGATACAATGGAGTGACAATCATGTAATTCATCAGAACTGCTTAATGATGTCATAGTAGTAGAAGCTGTCGTTGATGTATTATGATTTAAGCCGTTGGATGGAACTAGATGAGTAGATAATGCAAAATCTGTATTGTTGCTCAACTTTTCCCATTTCATTAAACATGAATAAGAATGTGATAAATCCATGTGTAAGTTTTGTTGTAATTTATGAAGAAATTGAAGTGAATAGTTGGTAATTTTTGTTTTTACACAACCATCATGCTTAGCAAGTAAAGGCTCGGCAAAATTATTTGTAATTAAATCATACGAGATGACTGAAAAATTAAAGCAGAAAGTACAGCTATTGATGAATAATGGTCCACCAAGTTGAATAGGTGGTTTATTTGAAAAATTATCAAAATTAAATAAATAGTTTACAGTTGAAAAGACTTTTTAACAGGATTTCACAAATAACTGCATAATACTTTAGTCATACTGACGTTAGGATTACATGATTAAGTCAAACCTTAAAACATTTATGTCATGTATCGTTAGCTGCGACCCATCCAGATGGACTGTTAAACATGATAAAGTGGTGGCCTGGAGAATTTCAGTCACCTACTTTGTCGAATTCATTTTGAGCAATCGCGTGGTATCATTAACCTTCATCCAGACTAAGCGTCTGGCTTGTACCACCCAGTTACTTAGTTAATGAGCTAATAAAATAGAACCGAAAATTCTGTATGCGATGTGAGGAGATGAAAACGATAAGTCGTTCAGGGAAAAAACACTTAGTCGTCTAACCATTCTGCCGCAAATATCATAGAGCCGTTGGTTTAAAATCGCATTTGAACTTACGGTAGCTGAGTAAGAACATTAGTTCCTGTAGACTAAAAGCTAGGCTTAGAGCCAGTTACCTCAGCATTCAATAATCCAAATAAAACTTCGTAGAAAAAAAACATGAAATATAATGTAACACTGTATGCGTAAGATATGTGACCTTTGTTCCTACACAGACGTTCAACCAGTGTTATTATAACCTTGTAACAGTTATCTTCAAGTATTGTTATACCTTGAAAAATGACAATATTTTCTTACTACTACAATTTATTTCATGTTTTATTTATTTTCGTTCGCTTGAATTGATAGTAATCGATACACAAATGAAATTGACACCTACTGAGATGAGATAATCATATGGTGTACTCTTATCACCTGCTGCAGTTGATTATCATTGAATTTGTACAAAAAAGATTTTCTACGTTAGGAACAATATATAAAATGCAATTTCTTTTTTAAAAAAAAACAAACCTTTTTTTTCTCTATTTAACCTGTAAACTGCTTATTTTAATTTATTTTATGACTGACCGAATCAAGTGAATGAAATTGATTGATATATAAATAAATAAATTTTTCATTAGAAGAATTGTTATTGCTTTACTTCTTGAAAATTTATTCACTTAATCAGTTTTAAAGAAAAACTGCTTTAAAATATTAGAATAAATGTAACGGAATTTCATTGACTAGATCAATAATTAGGACAGATGTTAAACGCATGGATAACTACTGTTTTCTTTGATAAGATTTTAGGTAGCGTACAAGGTGGTGACGAAAAGTCTGAGGACAAAAACCAGCTCACGAAATCGTATGGGCTTAAATATTCACTGACCGTTTGGTATGGATTGTGTAGGATGGTTTAAACTTTATTGATAAAGTCTCTGTGACAAGATTAAACTACGGTGGAAGGTGTTTAGTATTACAATCCGTGTTAATCGGTAATTTCCATCAATGTACGACAGCACTCTGACAGAATGTCATGATGATATGAAAAGGATTATGAAAGCATATTGTTTATACTAACTATCAAAAGTTAACAACCATATATAACATGTATATAACGGCCTACCTGAATCATATGATCGGTCCATGTAAGATGTTGAGATTTGTGTTTCTGAAGATGTTGATTCCGTTGAAGATGAGGAAGATGAAGATAATGTAGACAGTGGCGCCAAATTCTTAGAATATTCTGAATCTGCATTAGATTCTTTAAGATGACATTCACGATTATTGTAATTTGCATTATTGATGTGTTTCAATCCCAAACAAACAATATCTATATAAGATTGAAGAAGGAATGGAATGAAATACAATTTAAAAGACGATGCAATACCATGAATACAGTTTTTGATGTAACTCAATACAATTTAAACTTTTCAGCTCTTAGCTGCCTTTTTCCCGTGAAGTTAAATGATGATAATTGACTTGTTAGAAATGGTCCTTTTTTAAACACAACCCATTTAATATTTATTGAAATGTCATCATCCATTAGTAAAATATCATAATTTACCAAACTGATTTCACGTTATCCAGTATGATAACTGAGGTTCTGATCGTGAAAAAATCAATTATGAAGAAAAACAAACATTTCAATATCAATCAACCTTTAATTGATCATTAGTAGTTACATACTAGGCAATGGATTAACTGTTGTAGACAGAAAAAGAAACATACCTAACATGACTTTAGGGTTTGTGTCAATTTGATGTAAGCATTGAGAAAAGGTTAATGTACACAACTCTAAGAATAGATTACATCTCAGTCAGTTAGATGTAACGTAGAACTTCGTACGTAAGTACAACAGTTCATGTTGCCATACCACATTAGCACAGAAGTGCAACTGTCAATTCAAATCCAATAGTAGTAGAGGTAGTAAAGGTATTAAAAGTAATCGGAGAGGTTAGGATTAGAAGATATTATTTAAGAAGTATAATTCAGTGAGATAAGTTTATAAAGACAAAACTAGAGGTGTTGAAGAATACAGAAGATTAGTATTTGAGAGAACACAAAGAATAAATGCACCGGCGCCATTGCAAACGGTTTTGAGCTATGTCACTAAGGATATACGAGCGATGCTTCGAAGACACCTATGATCGAAAACCAGTAACCTCCTAATATCTTCTACTCTCACTGGCCATGTTTCACAGCCATAAAGTAAGATGGAGCGAACTACTGCACAGTACACTCGTCCTTTAGTCAGCAAACGGATATCTCGTCTACGCCATAAGTAACGCAGGTTGGCAAAAGCCAATCGAGCCTTCTGTATCCGTGCGGAGATTTCGTCAGTCAACAGGCCATCGGCGCTGATGAAACTTCCGAGGTAATTGAAGTGGTCTACACGCTCAACTACTTCATTCCATATCAATAGTTCAGGTGCCAATGCAACCCAATCTTGAAGTAACATTTTACATTTCGAGGGAGAAAACCGCATCCCGAACATGCTTGTATTGTTACTTAGGGTAGTCAGAAGACTGCATTTTGTCAGCGTCTTCACCAAGTAGGACTATGTCATCGTCATATTCTGAATCAGCAAGCATGTTTCCTGGTAGAAGTTCCACCCCTGAAGAGTCAGACGATGATAATGTTAACTCTAGAAGCATATATACGACGAAGTTAAACAAGAGTGGGGAAAGTGGACATCCCTGACGAACACCACTTGAGGTAGCCGATTCCGATGACAGTTCGCCATAAGCTCTCACTCGACCAATGCTGTTCAATTAGAGAGCTTGTATAAGGTTAATGTACTCCCTTGGTACACCTTTCAATGACAGGCACTGCCACAGAACTTCACGATCCACTAAGTAAAATTCCGCCTTAAGATCCAGGAAAACAACTATTGTAGGACACCTAAATGTGTGTCTGTGTTCCAAGACCTTCCGTAGTGTCAATATGTGGTCTATACAACCACGTCCAGGTAGAAAACCAGCCTGATTTTCCCTAGTCTGCTCTTCACGAGCTTTCGTTAAGCGTCGAGGTATTATTGAGGCCAACATTTTAGATACTATTATATATCTAATCTGTAATTTCAGATTACATTTACTCGTACTAATAAAAAATATGATATGTTAAGAAGGTGCTAAGAAATAAACCAAGTGAATAAAATCTGCTCAAGTATTTTATAATTCAGTGGCCAAATCTACGTCAACATGTTTGATTTTAAGTAAAGACTAGAATTATTAGATGATTATTTTTTTAAAAGAGAATAGAGAACAATCGTTGGGAAGAAATCAGAATTAATAGCGAGGAATTTTGAAGAAAGAGAACAGTTGAAGCAAAGAGAATAAAAACAACCTGTACGTTAACCCATTGGGAAAAGAGAAATATGTATGTATACTGTTGTGACGTTTCTTATATTTGGTTATAAAGAATTGTAGTTACCTTTGGAAAATATAAGTTCATAATTAGGCATTATATTTTATCGAGTTATAAACAGAATATCAATACAATACATGTGATTGTAATGCAAAACTGTGAATATAAAATAAACTAATGACAAGTATTAATTGATAGTAATTCTTTTGTGTAATTACGAAGACTGTGAACAAATCGGAACTCAATTAGTTTATAGAATAAGCTGAATTCCTTTATTGTACAATATACACTGCGAACTCAATAGTTTGTAAATCTAGTCTAAATCGAGAATAAACTTTTAGAGTGGTTTTTCAATAGCGAGGAAACATTATTTAGATATCACTTAGAACGCAAGGCATTAACAGCAGTATTGTCTCGGAATAAGGTTCCTTTCGAGTGCACAGCAAGGAAAATAGCCAGGAGCTTTAAGTCTTCCAGTGAGGAGAACAGTGTTAGACTAGTGGGTTAGGAATCTCAATGATTTACTTATATGACTGCAGATAATCATATATTTGTCACTATAGGCTCGTAAAGATAGTTCAATGTCATTGAAATTATAGATCGCGCAACGTTAGACGACCGTTAGAAAGCTGGAAGCATGGGGTGGCCGTGAGTAGGGGTCGTGATGGTCAAACAATCATTGACTCATGATTACAATTAAACTCAACAATCTCCCAAACTCTTTATTGAAAATCACCAGTAACTAGCTTCGTGATGAAATTATCGGAATTCTAGTGGGAAGCCACAGTCAACCGTGTTCAGTCCAGTCTGATACAGGCAGTTATCTCAGTGAAATTGCATAATACCTTGGACTGATTAAAGTGAGATATGAACACCGTTGGATGTCGGCTCAGTTTGACACACACAAATACACATACTGCTTACATTGGTTTTGGCATAAAAAATTTCAAAACTATGAAATAATCCATAAATCCAGAATGATAAGCAATCATTCCAAATGAAGGACAGTAGCAAAACTAACAACTTTGTCAATGACTTGGAAAGACATTGAAGAATTCAAAAGAAAAGTTAATTAATTTAATTTATATGGTGATATATTAAATCTTCAGCCATAAAATTTTAATCATGGTTGGATATATTCATATCATATTATTTAGAACACTACGCGTAATTCATTTGCTCATGAAAATGTAAATTAATCTTATTCACTTTCATTATTCACTGATTGATTGATGCGTAAAAATCAAAAAACAAAAAAACCGAACTCATATTTTACAATACACAATACATCAAAAGAAGTCATAGTCACAATCATGATCACACTAAAATATAAAAAGTTGATTATCTGGTTTATTTGAAAAATTTTTTTAAAAAAAAGTGATCTACATAGAAGAAAACTTATTTCTCATTAATTTATTCTATTATATATATATATATATATATATATATATATATATTCAATTGTTTTGTACTGATGATGATATCAATCGGTAAATTTAAAATTAGTACCTTCTTTTTTTAATATAATTAAAACAAATAATAATAATAATAATTGTAGAGAAAAAAACGTTAGGCTTGGTCTAGACAGAACATTTATTTACTTACGTATCTACCAACTAAAAACATGAAAAGAACAGAATTTTAACAAAAATTAAGCAAAACAAATGACAACTGAAAGCCAGTTAAAGTGAATGACACATGAACAATGAAAAAGAAAAGTGAGACGCCAACAACAACGAGATGAAAGTAGTCGAAAGAGAGAAACAAAAGAAAAAAAGAAGAAGAAAAAGAGTTAAAAGACAAAACTATATACACAATCTTATCATTATAATTCATCAAATTACATCAATGACGATATCATACATTGTAATCAAAATAATCAAAACAATAGTAATGATAAGCCATGTATATATAACAAAGTGCAATGAACACTGATACACTGTTCATATTTACGTATAGAAAAGATGAGATTTAACACTATAAAATCTTATCTTTGATTTATTATATGCCTTAAATGACGAAATCATACACTTTAATAAAATCATCATCATAATAATAATAAACCATAAATACATTGGAAAAAAACACCGTTACACATATATTTGGAAAATGCAGTGAAAGTAAGCAGTAATAGTAGTAGTAGTAGTATATAGTAGTAGCAGTAGTAATAGTAGTAGTAGTATATAGTAGTAGTAGTACATAGTAGTAGTAGTAGTGATGCAATTAGTGTAAAAAAATACCTGAAAAGTTTACGTACATTTTTATGTGTAAGGAAAGGCAATCGATCGATCGGCAGGTGTGAATGTACAAACATGCAAACACACACACACAAATAGACAAACATGTTCAAAGCATGTAAATTCGAATGGTTTAGAAATGCCTTTTTTCTCGTCCAGTAAACGTTATCATATTATCCGGCATGTGTACACACATTAAAACAAATGACTAAAATTCAAATCCAAAAATTTGCATCTATTTATACACTGAATCGTTTGTAGCAACTACAATGATGATAGGATTTTGTCTGAATTTTTTTAGTAATCATCAGAAGAAAAGTGTTTTTCAATAGGAATAATGTATACTAACTGAACAAATGAAATGTCTAGATAACAATTTATCAAATTCCAATATAACTAAATAGTTACAAAGGTCAGGCATAGTTGGCAAATGAATAAAGAATAATAATAAATATTATTATTATTTATGTGAATAAATAATTTATTGGTTAGTCAGTCTTATAATGAACTGATGTCAGTTAAAGAACTACCATTGGTAATTATTGATGGAGGAGTGATGAATAACTTCTTCCTCGTATATTATTCCAATTTTTATCAACATGAATGCATATCTTCACAAAATGAAATGTTGTAGTTGAAATCAATTTAGCTTATAAGTCATACACACACACATACGAACACAATCACTTCATCGTGCTGAGTGTAGAATGAAAGATAAAATAACGGA